CAACTCCTCATATTCTGTGACTCTGTGAAAACCCAATTTATTAAGAAGAATCAAAATAATTTTAAAAAATGTTTTGTACCCCAGTTTATACAATTCCTAAGACTTTATGTTCTGAATGTTATTGAGTCTGCTTGTAGAGAAGTGATAACAAAGTGTTGGCATTTCTTTCACTTTTATTCCCAGTTACTTCTTATTTTACATGTTGTTTCACAGAATAATACCTTGTCATGGTATTTCCTGTGTGATAACCCCTCGCTATTATTCTAAGTACTTCCTCAATAACTGTTTTAAACCGTTCCCTTTCTCATTTCTTCTACGAATCTTTCAACCTTTTTTTGGCAAAGGATTTCCCCAACCATTTATCACACTTTTTGTGAGCAGCCTCTGGACTGAAAGCAGAAGTTTTATAGAATGAGAAATGTAAAGTTCGGGTGATACACTTGGACTGGTCTGGTCTGCAAAGATCTGGAAGGAAAGAATGAAGATGGTTTCCGTGGAGCGCTAGATCTCATTTAAGTTCTTTGCCTCATCTGTAGCAAAAATTATTCAGTCCAGATCTTACATTAAAAGCAAATTACATTAAAAATGTTGATAGAGTATTTCATTGAAACTAAATGCAGTCATTCAGAGTCCAGCAGTTGCTGACTGCAGCCGTAATTGCTGATTTTGTTGGTGTTACCGTTTTAATAGTGGTCATGAAAGTAGTAGGAATGATTTTCATATGAATGAATTTCCAGATTCTGGGCCAATCGTATTAATATTTGTTTCTCTTTTCAGGTGCAGATCTTGCCTTTCCTGCTTCAGTCCATGACAACATAGTCTGCAGTAAAACATTTCAGATTCTTTACAAAAATGAGGAAGTTGCTGTGAATGACGTGATGATTTTCAAGATAAAGATGCTGTTAGATGAGAGGAAGGTAATCTGCCATTCAGCTTTACTGTATTCAGACAATTAAGTCTTCATTATGTACAAATTGGATTAGTAGAAATCAGGGGCCCGAGAAGATTTCATGCTTCTACCATTTCTTTTTAGATTGAGGAGTCTCTTAATGAAATGAATTTTCTGCTGACCTTAGACCTACACTTCACGGATACAGACTACTCGTAAGTTGAAGTAGAGATGATTTTATTAAAGCAACAAGATCTGTTAACTTTTTAAACTGATGAAATCTGTATTATATAGACACAGTGCGTTCATATTAGACATATATGAGGGTAAAAAAGAAATCCAATGCTAAATATTTCATAACTGGTTTGTCTTACTCTGATTTATTTTTGTGGTATTTTTTTCCTGAGGGGGTTGCCCTTGCATTCCAAAGTATAGACCCATGTGAAATTGCAATCTGTGTCGGTTATTATTAACTTGCACTTTAATTCTGGTTGTTGTAATTACATCTTGTTTTGTTTTAATCTCCTTTTTAGACCAGATGACCTGAGCACACTACAGCCAATTAGTAGCCGAACTTTAAAGTTGCACTTTAACTTACACCGGGGCCTTCACCATTACGTCAATGTTATGTTTGATTACTTCCACCTCTCTGTCATATCGGTTATAGTCCATGCTTCTTTGGTTGCTTTGCATCAGCCACTGATAAGGTAATCTCTCGTTAATAAAATGCAAATACATTCTTGAGTGTCCAAATGGAAATGTTAGAAAAATAGAGTATTTAGGAAGGAGTTAAATCTGTGACCAATATAGTTTTCTTTATGATGATTCTGGAATTCAGGGCCCAGAGGGATGAGAAATTTCTTGTTTTCAGTTACCTGGAACAAATATTGAGTTTATTTTTGTTAGAAATAAGAGTACATACATGTAGTGGGCATGGAGGTGTTGGATTGGACTTAATCTTAGATGTCTCTTCCAACCTTAATGATTCTGTGACTCTGTGTGATGTAGAAGAGAGGTAATACCAAGACCAGAGAAGAGGAGGTATGTATAAATAGCTGTATTTTTACGTGTATATTTGTATGTATACATATTTATATGTTTTCTTAATTGGGAAGATCTGCTGCTCACTCTTAGTGACTGAAGTAAGTGCCATTGATATAAATAAGGCATCATCTGTTCGCCGTCTTCACAGTTTTCAGTTACTACTGTAGTGGCAATAATGTCCGTAAATGATGCATTTACCATTTTCTAAAGTAAATGGAACAGGAGAATTTAATTTTCTCTTTACTAATTTTTACTGAAGCCTTTTTATTTCATTGACTTGTGTCATTCTTTGCAATCTCTGTTGACCTCGCTTCTTTCTCAAAAGTAAGTGTGAAAAAAGGCCATGCAGTCGCTCACACATATGAAGTGCTCTTTACACAGCTTTTTCTTTAGTGTAACAATCTTTGCCTTCTTATGTGGACTTCAGATAATCAATGCTACTTCCCCCAAATTTCTTCATATTCAAATTTAGGCTGTGCCATAAATATTCAAACCTTTAGTTTAAGGTATTCCCACCGCTTGTCCCTGTCTTCACATCATGGGAAGCTGTGTGTCTGTGTATGTTAGGCAGCTGTTGTGTGACAGAAAGGTTTTGATACAATTTTTACACCATTTTATACAATCTTTCCTCTGTTTCTGGCTGTTCAAATGTTGATACAGTAACGCTATGTAATTTTAAACCTCAACTTGATACAGCTTGTGTAAGGAAACATTGAAACGACACAGCAGCTTCCACACTGCTTCTGTTATCTTTAGAGCAGAGTGTTGTAAGTGTCCAGAAAATCACTTACAGATCCAAGTTGTCATTTAAATCAGTTTAGGGTGGGGAGAGAAGGAAACTTTAAAATTTACATTGTTTTATTTCAGCTGGGGTCTCTTGTATTGTAATAGTTAGCAAATACTTTATAGTTGCTGTATCCAGATCCCGTTCACTTTTCTGGGGCATCTCCTTCTGAAAAACCTGACAATTGCAGACCTCACTCCCTTCATCCTTTGGGCTTTCCTAGGGGACAGTTTTCTCCTCTCTTTGAACCATGCTCACATCATGGACATCCCTTCCTTTCCTAGGGAGTCACTTTTTGAGTATTCATTTTCAGAGTAGCATCCAGGTTCTCCATCACTCAGGATCAACCGGTATTAACACCTTCCTTGAAAGAGAGGAGGTAATTGCACTTGGTTACAGCACTGGGTCCCAGAGGGAAGGGATGGCATCCAGAGAGAACTGGACAAGCTGGAGAAGTGGGCCCAGGTGAACCTCATGAGGTTCAACAAGGCCAAGGGCAGGGTCCTGCACCTGGGTCAGGACAATCCTGGTTACCAGTACAGGCTGGGAGATGATGTGCTGGAAAGCAGCCCTGAGGAAAAGGACTTGGGGTAATGGGGGATGAGAAGCTGGACATGAGTCACCAATGTGCATCTGCAGCCCAGAAACCAACCCCATCCTGGGCTGCATCACAAGAAGTGTGGCCAGCAGGGCCAGGGAGGGGATTCAGCCCCTCTGCTCTGCCCTGGTCAGACCCCACCTGCAGTGCTGCATCCAGTGCTGGGGCCACCAATATAAGAAGGACATTGAAGTGCTGGAGCAGGTCCAGAGGAGGCCACAAAGATGCTCAGGGGCTGGAGCACCTCCCCTACAAGGACCAAGTGAGAGAGTTGGGGCTGTTCAGCCTGGAGAAGAGAAGGCTCCACGGGGACCTTACAGTGACCTTCCAGTTCCTGAAAGGTGCCTCTAAGAAATCCAGGGAAGAACTGTTCTCTAGGGCATGTAGTGACAGGATGAGGGGTAATGGTTTTAAACTGGAAAAGGGGAGATTTAGGTTGGATATGAGGAAAAAGTTCTTCCCCATGAGGGTGGTCGGTCACTGGCACAGGTTACCCAGAGGTGGTGCAGGCCCCATCCCTGGAGATATTCAAGGTCAGGCTTGATGGGGCTGTGAGCAACCTGATCTGGTCCCAATGTCCCTGCTCACTGCAGGGGTTGGACTGGATGAGCTTTAAAGGTCCCTTCCGACCCAACACATTCTGTGATTCTATGAATCTATGCTCTTTATTAACCTGTCATGGCCTATTGCTGCCTGTTACCTAAAAGTCCCAAAGTTCTGCTTTCATTCGTCTTTCATTGATTTTTCCTAGCTCTGTGTCCTCAAAATGTTGTAGGATTCTCTGTTCTCTCAGGGTTCAGGATGGGTTTTCTTTCTCAGTAGGCAGAGTTCAAGGCATCCCTTAGAAAAACACTAAGGGCAGTTTTTGTGGCTTCACTTTTAGGAGGTAAAGTTCCCGCAGCAAAATTGGCAGAAAATTACTGCCTCTTACCCATTACAGTTCAAAATGTATCTGTGTGGCTTAAACTTTCAGGAATATTGTTTAAATTAGTTGAGGTTTGCATTGGAAATAATGAGGAAGAGCTTCCACAGCCTCCTGGCACAGACCCTGCTGACCTTGATGGTGAGAGATGGCACCAGAGCAGCTGAGGGTAATAATTTCTTAAATTTCTCCAGCAAGCCATTGCTATGATATTACTGACAGTCCTCGTTTCTGCTGCTTTTCAAGAAAACAAAACAACAAGAATTAGTTTGGACTGTGCTAGATTTGTGACATATGTTCAAATTATGAGTTTATTTGTGCTGTTTTCGCAGTTTTCCTCGGCCAGTGAAGAACACGTGGTTGAACAGGAACGCACCAGCACAAAACAGGGACTCGGTGATTCCTTCTCTTGAAAGTGTGGTCTTTGGCAATAACTACACCAAACAGTTGTCAGCAGATGTAAGAATGTCTAGTATATAACATTTTATTTGGTTGGGTGGTGTGAATTTCATCTGCAGATGAATGTTACTTAATATATCAAGAATGAACTTCATTCGACTTACTGTGGTCCTTATGATATGGGAAATGAGAAAAATTGTTCCAAAAGGCTACATTACGTGTTTCAGGAATACACAGATGGAAAGCTTAGATATTTAGTGTTCAACTGTGTTTTTAAGATGTTGCAGTCATTGAAAATTTCTATAAAAAGAGGCAATTTGTCTTTTTTGTGTTATCCTGTTTACACTTCATTTAGTGTAGAAATTTAATATGTGCCTCATCTTTTTTTCTTCTTTTTTCTAGGGTTGCAGTTTTGTTGTGTCCGAGTCTTTCCTCAGCCATGCCTATAATTTTCACTATACGCTCTGTGCCAGTTTGCTGCTTGCTTTCAAAGGGTTACACAGCTATTTCGTTATGATAGCGAAGGAGCTCCCCTCTTCTCACCGTATTGAACTGGGTACGTTGAATTGAATACAAAGCCAATATTTATTAGGAATACTCCTCTTCTAGACTAAACTGGCATCGATTTCATCTCGTATTGCTAAAACCTTTTTGCTCAAACTGAGCTGGAATTGAATAAGAAAAAAAATAACAAAGAAACTATTACTGCCCCGTTAGTAATAAAATGAGGAGGTAGCAGCCTGGATTTATGCAAATCTATTTTTTCTTGTTGGTCTTCCTTTGCCCTGTTATTTCAAATCACTGTGTTTAGTGGTCAGAAAATGAGATCATCTCTTAATCCAGGTAGCCTGCTGGATTTGTTTGCTTCTTATAAGGAAATAGGGTGTATTTGTATAAAAATTGGAATTCAGCTTTGATTTGAGAGGAATATTACACTGGCAACTTGCCTGAAAAAAAGACCTACAAGAAGAAATTGCTGCTGACTCAGCTTGAGGTGTAACTTTTTAAACAGACTTAGTTACCCGGGAATTAGGAGAAGATCTGAGTAGACAAGAACTGTTTCTATAAAACAGAGTAGTTAAAATATGCTTTCAGAGAAGCTATTTCTTTAATAAAGTTAAAAATAAGCTCTTGCAGGACAGTCTCACAGCAAGAAATTGAAGTTCTATGGCAGTGAAGACTTCTAGTAACTACATTTGATAAAAGTAACTGCAGAAATATTGCGTTAAATATAATGTCTGGAGTTGTAAACAACATTTATGTAGAATGCAGGTACATTAGAGAGCCTGGCCTCAAGTTGTGAACTAGGAGAGCAGTGAAAGTATAAAAACCCCATACGTTGGCATTATAAAGGATTATTTAGTCCTTTTCGTCATCAAACATACACCTTTTTAGCCATGTAAAATTGTATTTAAACTGAAAACTGCACCTTTTGATGCTTACATGAATAGAAGACGGCAATTATTGAGTTTTGTATTGTTTCATTTTACCAATGCAAAACTAAGCATTATGACCCAATAATGTTGGACATTGAGATAGGAAAACACTCCTAAAAATGTGATGTGGTCAATTAGGGATTCAGACAACGCAGGTTTCAGTTGTATGTCCCAAAATACGAAGCTGTTTTTAAATTCGTATTTCTTTTTTGAGGGAAGGAGTGCATTACAAACCTCTGCATAGAAAAATACCAAAACCTGAGGCTTTTCCTTGATAGAAGCAAAAATCCTGCTAGAGTTTTGATGCGAGGAATATTTTTGTCAGTTATCTTAGTAGAGAACACCCTGTTAAGGGAATGACTTAACTCTCAGTCTTCCATTTAAGGACAAAATGTGCTTTTTCCCCAGTAGAATCTCTTGGCACCGTTGTAAGGCTAAATCTTGATACTTAAATGTTTCAGATAAGACCTTCAATTCCCCTAAAAAATTCCTACCAAATATATATGTGTATATATATATATATGTATATATATTTTGAGTTGCATGGTTGGGTTGCATCTTTCAGACCTCATTAAAGTCACCAAAAATGTTTTCATTAGTTTCAGAGAAACCTGAGTCAGACTTTAGTCATTCCTGTGGGTAATTTAGGTTGCCTTTAGGAATGCAGGCTTTAACAGCAATGCTCTAAATAAGTGTATGGAGAGAACATGACTCCTTACATTGAGCAGCCATTGTGCCTATTCTGCTGACAGTTTTTTTTCGGGGGGGAGGGGGGTGGTTTGGTTATTTTATTTAATTTTCTGCTACGATTACTTTGTTTTCTTATTTGTAAATCTTTTCTTCATTTATTTCAGTTATTTTGTGTATACATTGATTGGGACAATTGCTATAACAAAAAGGACTAATGATGTAAATATTCATTACGCTACTCTTACCTTTTGCTCAGGAAAAATACCGAATGCTCACCATTAACACTAATTTGTCTAAAATCCATCAGCAGTAAAAACAAAAAGCTGTCTTTCTGTGATGTCTGTAAAGAAATGGAAGCTTTTTCAGCTTCACAAAGTACACAATTGTCATTTGCATTTATTTTTAAAGTAAACGAACTGGTTTATAGCGCGGGTTTTATCTTTGAGGTTTAAATGGGCATTGCAGAAGAGAATCTCAAGTCCTGTTTAAATCCCAGAACTGTCACTTTTTTGTTTTAATTTCAATTATTATCTCTTCAGTTTTGTCTCTTCTGTTTGCTTTGCTGTTGCTCTGTCATAATTTTAACACAAGGCGGTGATTTTGCAGTAGCATGTCCAGACAACTGTGATCGAGCATTTAAGTACTACTGGTTTCAGGCAATAAAAAACTGCTACCTTAATGTCTATCACAAGCGATATCTAATCTAGCAACTACACTAAACCTCTGTGATTTCATGTCCTGATCTAACCGCACTAATTGCTAGGCTAGCAATAAGCTTTTTTGACTAACTTTAAGGCAAATAATAAGTCACAGAATAAAAAAAAAGAGGTGTAGTAACTAGTGCTGTGTGTACAATCCCTATAACTAGCCCAGGCCAGCACGCAGGTCCTTTATGAACGCCTTCTCAGAAGAAAATATCCACGAACCCAGAGAGACGCCTACCTAGGTACGTTGTCAAAGCAGGTGATACGACCCCACAGATTTCTTTTTCATTAATGATACAAGCTATTCTCTTCTTGTTAATAACACAAAATATTATATTCTCTTGAATAATGTAAAATATTCTGTGCTTTTGTAAACAGGAACAGTGTTTCACCAGTCAGCCATAGAGAACGTACGTTAACATGAGGAAGTCTGCAGAGTCGAGCTGCTTATTTCTAGGCTGAATATAGATTAAAAATGAGAAAATATTACTGTTTTTTTGGTTTAGTGTTATTCTGCTGTACTAAACAAAAATGAAGAGTTCAGGCAGTTGTCACCATTTAAATAAAATACCAAGGAAATATCCTTTTAAAATTTGATTTTTTTATAATTCAAGACCTTTTGCTCCTGATAAATCTTTCAGGCTGGTTCTGGTTTCTCAAGGCTTGATTTTTCCAAACGTTACACAAGACATTCTCAAAGCTTAAGGTCGAAATGGCCACTTCTCCCTTTGGAGAGGGTCAGTATTGGCCTGTACTGGGCAAAAAGCAACAGTGAAGTTTATGATGGGAAAAGGATAAAATGGCAGTTCAGTCTCATAGGTCAGCAGCTTAATCATCTGTATCATCTATATGTTAATCATCTATCATCTTGGGTTTGCTTTAAAAAGAAAAAAGAGCTATTTTTTACCAGGGCCAATGAAATTCCATCAGATATTTGCTGGGTGGACATTACCGCTGTAGAAATTTTTAGTTTCCTTTTGTGTTTTATTGTATGTGGTTTTAGTTGTGGTTTACTATTTATAACGTTGCAGTTTGGGATTTTCCATAATAATTATAGACTTCAGAGGTGTAAATGTTTTCCAAAGCCTGTTCTCAATTGCAGTGTGACAAACCAGACAAATAATCAGTACTGTGTCCCAAAAGTACTATCATATCTGAAACTGTTTTCACCTATTTTCACAATAATTATCATCAGATACTGTTTAGCTCATGTAGGTGCATGCAGTTACTTTCAAAAACAGTTTCTAAACTTGTTTCTGAGAACTTCATGCGCTTCTGCGATTTATTTTCTCAGAACTTTGAGTTACGTGAGTTAATTTATTTGGCATTAAGTTCAAACCTAAATATAATGGCTGCAGTTAGTTGAAAATCAATGTATATTTACCGAATGTAGGTTGAGTGAACACACTGTTGCCATTCTGTAAACTTATATTAATTATCCATATTTATTATTGTGGGTTTCAAGGTATGTGGTGTTGGTGTATACATTCAAGAAACATTGTGGGTTTTTTCCTTCATACTGCATTTAAAGAATGAATTTAAATACAAATATTTGTTGCAGACAGTTTCAGGGTTTATAAATGGTTCTGTTGTTACTGGTACCTCAGATGTAGCAAGAAATCAAAACACAGTACTAAGTTATTATTGAATTGATCAGATTTTGTTAAGCAGAATAGTGATGATTAACAAGGAAAACCATCTTGCATGAAGGAATAAATCTGGTTTCAAAACTCAGATCCATTTGAAGCTGCTGTACCATGGAAGATTGATTTGCTCTTAATGTGGAGCTATAGAGGGAAAGATCAGTTCAATAACAGTTTTATTTGACTAAAATATAATTCCTCAAACAATTAAAGACTTGTATTTATATTCATGTAGCTTGCAAATCGGGTAAATAACATACTTGTAGAAAAATAGTGGTGAAATAAGATGTCTCTAGAAAATCTGAGGTAAAATAGGTTTTACCTTGGTTGTGAATGGCATTGGTGCTGAATACCTGAGCAGCTCTCAGTAGATAATCTGCAAACTGTATTATCTAAATTATGGTATTTTCAGGTATAATTTTGAATGGAAAATTGGTATCCTTGACAAGGTATCATGATAAGTGAACATGATACTCAGTTCCAAACCTTTTTTTAATTAATTGTCTTCCGTCCTCAATCTCAGAAATTACTAAGAAATTATTTTAATTGGAGTCTATAATTTACTTGATTTAAGTTGATTGTGGCACTTAATATGGCTTCAAGTTTTGCTTGACGGGTTCTTTCCATTTAATGCTATAAAATTGTTTTACGAGTTAATTTGATTCACTCTGCAACTTGGAAAGTGCATTTTTCATGGACGTGTCCTCTCATCTTTCCAGAAAACATAGATGTAGAAGTTCGCCTTGCAGAATTGTGTGAAGAAGTCAAGGTACAGGATTTTTTAAATTTTTTAAATCAGTGAAATAACTCTAAAAGAGTATGCTGGTTTCGTATGCTATTTAGTAATAAACTTAGTTGGGGTGGTAACATTCTGTGTGGTTTTTGCCAACACTTGTTTCAACGCATCCTCATTCATTCACAAGCAGTGTTCCCCAGGGCTCAGTTTT